ACCATTTCGACACCCGACGATCGAACGTCGGAGCAATGGCGGCACAGAAGAGGCGATCCTGGAAGATGGCCGAGAAGCGCGCCTGCCAGCGGGGGCGCGCGCCTGCACGAACGACCTGCTCGCCACCAGGTGTCGTTCCTTGTCTGAACAAAACACAGCACTCAGCACCTGCACTGGCCAGAAGCGGATCCTGGGGAAATCCTGCGGCGGCCTGGCTGAGAGAGTAGACAATGGCAGGAGACTTCCAGAAGGGAGGAGCAAGACAGGGGGAGTAACTCCAAGTCACGGACCCGAATTTGAGTGTAGCATGCTGAAGCTGCGCGAGCTGAACGTGCCGCGACGGGGTCGAGACGAGTGCCGCTCTCATCAGCGAGGCGCAGCCGAGGACCCAGCTCGATGGGAAGTCAGGCCCGCCCACCTCCCAAGGCTCACCCATCCGTCCCAAGCCAGAATCGAGCTGGCCGTCCTCCAAATCGAAGCAAAACGGTGCCTCTCCTCGATAGCCAGCGACCGAGGGAGGGGGAAGAGCTGCGCCTTATACGAGAGAACAGGGAGCGCACGAAACTTAAAATGAAAAACGTTAGTGCTGAGATCGGCCGAGGAAGCGCTGGCAGCACGCAATATGGCACGAAGTTTGGCCCACGGAGCTCCCCACTAGTCATCAAGCGTCACCGAGGGGCCCATAAGTGTGCCAAGATACTCTAAGCACGGGGCAATCGCAAACCCCCTCCACTCAGGCACGGCACGGGCGATGAATGCACGCGCCCGTTGCTCAGCACTGGTGTCAAATGGCCCGAAAAGTGGCGCAACCTTACATTTGGCGACTCTGAGGGCGAGAGAGGCGAGGCGGGAGGCAGGCGAGAATATACGCGCTAGACGACGGAGACCTGTGGCCGTGAATACAACCGAACCTACATCATCTGCACACGCGCGCGAGAAAGCATGCTTCGCGCCCTCGGTCGCGCGCTCCATGTCCCACAAGAATGGGTTCGAGGCGAGCGCAAAGAGGGGCCCGCTAAGGGGGCAGCCCTGCAAGACTCCAGCAAGGACGAACAAGAGCGGAAGATGGGCGCCCCCCTCATGGAAGACGCAGAGATTCAGATGGCACAGGCATTGAATGGCTAGGGTGAGCCCAGGAGGGAGCTGGAGAGACCGCAAGGCCGAGAGGAGCCAAGACTGGGAGACACTGGGAAAGGCCTGCGCGTAATCAAAAGAGATCAAGAGGGGGGGCCAATCCTCGGGGGCATTTCCACGCTGGGGGGGGTCCTCCATGACGGAACCGATCCGAGCAAACGCGTCCAACTCAAACACGTTCTTCAAGAAGGACCTCTCCCTTATAAAGCCATTCTGCATACGCGGGCTGACCTTTTGCACAATCGACGTGAGAGGCCAGTTAATTGCAGCAGCTGCGCATTTGTTCAGCGTGTTCTTCAAAGAGAGCGGCCTGGTTTCATCCGCGGACCTGGTTTGAGTAACTGCCTCGGCGTCCTCTGGCTCATCTCCTTTGGCCAGGAAGGCCGCGAGGGACTCAAAGAAAGCCGGCGGCAGAGCCTGCCCAGCCGCAAGCGCCCAGAAGGTTTCCATGACCACCAGGGGGCCCCGACCTACCGCCCACGTGCTGTAGGCGAGACCATCGGGTCCAGGGGCCGAATCACACACTCGACGCAGGATTTTCCGCACCAGGTCAGCATTGGGCGGGGGCGCATCTTTGAAATCGACAGAAGAGGCGAACCGTGCAGCATACAAGGACGCGCCTGCAGCGGGGGCCGACGGGGTCTGGAAAACCAGGGGCCAGAAGGCCGACAGATTCCCGGCCTTGGCCTCCGGGGGCGACGCCGCTCCAAGGGGCCCCGAGACGGCTCCCAAGACACGCCTGCGGCCCATGGGATCCCACAGCCGAGCCCTCCTGTGCAGGGCGAGGAGACGCTTCAAGGAGGAGGCGGAGGAGAGCCCACGAGCAACCTGCGCACCCTGAGACACTTGGGCGCGGGAGACCTCCGCCCTCGCAGAGGCCAGCTGGGCCTCATTGAAGGCAATGGCAAAAGCCTCACTCTGATGTGTCAGAACACGGCCCGCGTCGACATGCAGGCGCACGCGAAGCCACGGATGACGAAGCAGAAGAGCCAGCGCAGCGTGCTCATCTTGCCTGCTGACCGCCCGAGACGCGGATCGCCAGACCATCGCTCTCCCCTGGGGCCCAGGACGAACACGAGCCAAGAGCGAATCACGAGCAGCGCGCCCTGCAGCCCGTCGCGCACGTGCTGCCAGTCTCGTGAGAGTGTCAGTGGGCCAGTCGTACTCGTCCAACTTGGCCGCTTTCGCAAAGGCTTGCACCATCTCGGCATAGACGGGGTCGCGATTGATGAAGCCAGCAATCGGCTTGACCCGTGCACGTTCACCATCTGAACGACATGACCAACTCAAAGACAAAGGTGAATGATCACTGATTTCACGACGATCCAGTTCTTCGGGTTCGGCTGCCAGAGCGACCGACTGCCAGAAACGAATCGCAATCCAAGTCGGCGCGGAGAGGAAGATGCGATCGATGAGGGACGATACTTGATTCGGTCGGTGCCAGTGCGTAGGTCTGGCAGCATCATACTCTGTCATCCGCTTCCAAACCTTTCGCCGCGCTGCCTCATGCCGACGCCGCGCCTGCGACGAGCCAACCTCAAACCGCCGGGACGATGCAGGGGCGGGTGTGCCCGAGACAGGCCCTTCGATGTCACCGTCGGAGATGTTGAAGTTGCCCGTGACACAGACGGAGTAGCGAGGAGGATCAGACAGCGCACGTGATATTTGTCTGTGGGCCTCGTCACTGATGTCTTTCATCTCCTCTGAGGTGACGCCGTGATTGTGAACGCTCCAGTGGTGCCACGTGTGGGCAGCAGTGCTGATGGTGACCAGCAACACCCGCCAATCAACAAAAACTTTGGGAATGATGTCAACGATGAGGGGGCTCCGAGGGACGATCGCGACCGCGCCGCCGTTCCGCGGAGCAGGAGGGGGAGAGTCAAAGAAGTAGTGCGACTTAGACCAGCGGCGCAGAAGGGCTTCCACGTCAAGGCCCGAACAGTGCGTTTCCTGAAGAGCAACGATCGATGAAGAACTCATCAACTTCTGTAACTCAGCGAGCTTGTAGTGCATGATCTTGGACTTGTACTGCGTGAGGGCACGTGCGTTCCATGTGCTAAACGAGAGCGAGTCCATGCCCTCGAAGATCTTGTTACCCACTCCACTGAACTTCACAAATGCCCAGCGACTCGATGGCGAGGTCCTCCAGCTCCCGCCTCTGCACGTGTAGGTTGGCGAGCGCATCCAAGTTCCACTTGAAAGACGACTTCTCCGTCGGGTGGACCTCGACCTTGAGCAAGCGCCCCCCATCCCCGAGAGCACTCCTGCCTCGCGGTCGACATACACGGGACGACCGAATCTGGCAGCGAAGGCATTCTTGATCTTCTTGCAGGTGATCTCACGCGATATGTCCTTACGGTTCTTGTCGACAGAAACAGAGAGCGCCACAGGGCGACCGCTGGGGTCGTTGGCCACGAAGGAGCGCCACTGTCCTGCAGGGGTACGGATGGCCGCCAGTGCAGTGCCTGCACGACGCTCAGCAGCAGCACCTTGGAACTTGAGGATAAAGGATCGCGCCAACTGCTCGCCCTCCAACCTGACCTCCTGGCCGAGCGTGAACGACGCGTCCTGGAGCCACGACTGCAGACCAGCAGCCACAGCCTCGTGCCCGACGTCGGAGCGAGCACGCACCAGCAAGATGGTCCTGTCCACCGCGCGCTCCCACTCGCCAGTGCGAGCGATCGGCACGTGGACCCTCTGCCTCGATAAATCCAGCGCCTGCTCCAGCGCCTTGAACCTCGCTTCGTATTCGGCCTGCACTCGGCGAAGCTCGGAGATGTCCGGCTCGGCCGCTCCGATCCTCCGAGCATGAGCAGACAGCTGCGACTGCACCTGCTCCTCGAACTTCTTGAACAGAGGCTGAATGGCGCCAGCGACGATCCCAGGCATCTTGGCGTCGATGGTCTTGCCCAACTCCTCATGAGCAATCCTCTGGATGCTGGCTGCGATCTCAGACTGGACCTGCTCCGCGATGTCGTGCGCATTCGCCTGCGCCCACGGGTCCAGGATGGGGCCGCCAGCAGCGGGCGGAGCCGCGGCTGCTGCAGCACCTGCACCGTCGCCAGGGCCACCTGTCTGACCACGCCAGCGCCCCGCAAGGTGATGGACAGGTGGTGGAGCAGGCCAAGACTGGGGTCCAGCACCCACGGCGAGAGCGCCGCCGAGACCTCCGCTGAACTCTTGCGAAGGGAGCGTAGGGGCAACGTCCAGTGCCTCCAGAAGCTCTGTCTCCTGGAGGGTGGCAGCAGCGGCCTGGGACCGAGCATCTCCATGGGACACTGGGCCAGGCGATGGTCCTCCACCGCGGCTGCTGCGCGACCTCTGCCCAGGCGTAAGGGTTGTGTCCTCTCTCCGACCGCGTCCCGACGCAGCACGAGGGGTACGCGGCGTGCGAGGCGGAGATGAAGCAGCTGAAATAGGGGACAACCTGCCGCTAGCATCAGCAGAAGGAGAGCGAGCAGCACCTTGGCGACGTCTGGCAGCGGTGCCCTCGCTTTTGCCACCCTTCTTGACCTTGCCATCTTTCTTCTCCTTCTTTTCTGACTTCTTATCGTTCTTCTCACGATCTGGCATCAGCAGAGCAGACTGAGCGGGTGTCCAACTCTCGCGGTGAAGGCAACAAACAGTTGGGGTATGTCCTCGGATCAGAGGCACCAGAGGACTGGATTGGAGAGTGGCCTCAAAGCGGAACCTCCCTCGCGCTCTGAGGTCGCCCCGAAAAACTCGCGGTCGTCGGGACGGTTCATAGCCTTGAGCCAAAATGGCTACGGAGGAGGAGGAGGAGGAGGAGGAGGAGGAGAGGAGGAGGAGGAGAGGAAGGGGTCGGTGTATAAACGCGCAGGCGTAAGTTCTCGAAGTGGGCTCTCCTGAGCCACGCCCCGAAGGGCCCTGCAAGGCGGGCCCGCCGCGGCCACCGCAGGAGGAGCAGCGCCGGCAGTGGCGCCTCTGTGAGGGGCAGGCGCGCCCGCCGTGCCAGAGGGAGGAGTGGGACAACGGGGGGCGCTCCTCCTCCTCCTCCTCCTCCTCTCCTCCTCCTCGTCGTCCTCCTCCTCCTCGTACTCCTCCTCTCCCTCCTCCTCCTCCTCCTCCTCCCTCCTCCTCATCCTCCCTCCTCCTCCTCCTCCTCCTCCTCCACCTCCGTCCTCCTCCTCCTCCTTCTTCCTCCTCCTGCTCTTCCTCCTCTTCCTCCTTCTCCCTCCTCCCTTTTCTGTCCTCCCTCTAATTTCCTCCCTCCTCTCTCCTCCCCCCCCTCTCCTCTCTCCTCTCTCGTCCTCTTTCTCTTCCGCATCCTCCAACGTTTTCTTCACAAATATCTCTTCCCTGTTGCACCCCGAGGCGAGTCTGAAGGGCGGGGCGGGCGTTTCGCCTAAGACTTCCTCACCATTTACAATCTTGAAGCTCAGACATGGGCAACAGTTTCATGGATTGATGACAGGTGGTTTTCGACATGTGGCTCTCGGCTTCGCGTCGAGTGCACTCGATTTCACACTTTGCAGGAGTTTTGCGGATTGAGGACGGGTGGTTTTCACTGTGGCTCTCGCCTTAGCGCCGCGCACATTCGTTTTAAACATGTGCAAGTGCTTCTCGGAGTAATTACGGGTCGTCTTCGAAATGTGGCTCTCGTCCTAGCGTCGCACACGTTCACCAAGATAGGATGAAAGAGCTTCACGGATAGACGGCGGTTTCTTTTTCCAAGTGTGGCCCTCGCCTTAGCGCCGCGCACCTGCATTATGCAGAAGTAAGTTTCACGGGTTCCCATGGCCAACGTGTCAGAAACGGTGTGGAAGGACTCAGGGTGGTGAGGGCGCAACAATTACGTGAATTCGCGGTGTTGAAGTGCCAGGAATAGTGTTCTGGCACGGTTCATCATCGTCAAGACGCAACAGTCATGCTGATTGGTGGGTTGGAGTCCCGAGTATGGTGTTTTGGCATGCTTTAGGGTCTTCAAACGGTTGTCTCCCAGCGTGGCAGTTCCCCCAGTGGAAATTAACCCTTGTAGGGGATTCTGAAGAGGGAGCTCGGAGTGAGGGTGAATTCCAACATCGTTGACGAGTCTTGGGTTTCCCTTGGTCCTCCTTCTCCTCCTCCTCCTCCTCCTGCTGCTCCTCCTCCTCCTCCTCCTCCTCCGCCTCCCGCCTCCCTCCTCCCGCCTCTGTCCTCCCTCCTCCCCCGTCCGGTGACGGGCCGTACGGTGAGATCTTCGGGGATTTCAAAGTCATCGCACGGTCTTGGAGGCCTCCGAAATGGAGTCTGAGCAGATGGGGTCGGAAGATCGTGCCGCATCGCCGATGCATCGCCGATGCATCGGCGACATCGGCGATGCATCGGTTGTCAGAGGGGGTAATGCATTGGTTGCCAGAGGGGGAGGTCAGTCCTCAGCAGCAGCGTTCGGTGGCAACTCATGGGAGCCTCCCGTATCATCGTGTTGGCTCCCGCGGATCGACGCTGCTCGATGCGATATGACGCTGCATCGACACTATCTCTTCGACTACCAGACGCGAATCGGCGCTAATCGACGCTAAAGGGCGTGAGTGTTTTGGGCATTTCCTTTTCCACCCCCCCTTCTTCCCCTCTGTGGAAAGGGTTACCCCTCTCCCTGCCCTCTCCCCCTGGACCTGGACGGGGCCTTCAGCGAGGGGTTGGATCGTCCAAGGTAGCCTCGGCGAGAAAGCCACAGACATTGATGATACGAAGGTTTTTGCCACATGTTGGCCTCCTGGTGAGGGGCGTAATCGGAACCTCCCCCCTTCTTTGATCGATCTCCGCAAAGGTGGTCCCGAGATGGCTCCGAGGCTCCCAAGGGCGCCTCAAGAGGGCCCCCAGAGGTGCCCAGGAGACATGCCCCAAGGGGCCCCCAACATGCCCCCAAGAGGCTCCCAAGAGACCCCCAAGATGTCCCAAGAGGCCCCAGAGGCACCCAAGACGCCCAAAGAGGCCTCGTCGAGAATGCCACCATCATTGATGCGACGAAAGTTTAGGCCACACTTTTGCCTCCAAGCTGGGGGACCCTCATGTACTACGGCCCCTCCCTTGGTCGATCTCCTCCAAGATGGCCCCGAGGCTCCCAAGGGTGCCCCAAGAGGGCCCCAAGAGGTTCCCAAGAGGCCTCAAGAGGCCCCCCAAGAGGTCCCCCAAATGCCCCCAAGAGGCTCCCAAGAGACCCCCAAGGGGCCCTCTGGAGGCACCCAAGACGCCCCAAGAGGCCTCGGCGAGAAGGCCCACGTAATCGATTCGACTCAGGCTTTAGCTACATGTTGGGCTCCTGGGGGGGGACTCTGAGTACAGTCGGGCTTGATTGGAGAGGACACGCGAGAGGACACAAGACCCTTTCGAGGGCCACATCGCCACAGGAATGTACGAAGCATGGGCCGCGAGACACAGGACACAAGGGCAACCTTGATTTGGCAAGGTCGACCTACTAATCCGGGCCGACTGTAAGGAGCCCCCTCCTTTGATCGATCTCCTCCAATATTGCCTCAAGAAGGCCCCCGAGGCTCCCAAGGGTGTCCCAAGACGGCCCCAAGAGGTGCCTACGAGGCTCCAACAGGCCCCCACGATGCCCTTAAGAGGCTCCCGAGAAACCTCCAAGAAGCTCGAAAAGGCCCCCCAGAGGCACCCAACATGCCTCAAGTGGTCCCTGGGGCTGCTAAGAGATCCCCACGACGCCCCAAGAGGACTCCAAGAAACTCTCGAAAGCAGCCCGAAGAGACTCCGAAAGGCATCCAAGAGGCCTCTGGCCTTTCTGCTCGCCCTTTCTTCTCCTCCTCCTCCGTCCTCCTCTTCCTCCTCCTCCTCCTTCTCCTCCTCCTCCTCATCATTATCATCATCGTCATCGTCATCGTCATCGTCATCATCATCATCAGCATCAGCGTCAGCATCGGCATCATCATCATCATCATCATCATCATCATCATCATCATCATCATCACCATCACCATCATCATCATCATCATCACCACCGCCACCACCACCACCACCACCATCATCATCATCAGCATCATCATCATCATCGTCATCATCATCGTCATCATCATCATCATCACCATCATCATCAGCATCATCAGCATCATCATCATCCTCATCCTCCTCATCATCGTTGTCGTCGTCATCATTATCATCATCATCATCACCATCATCACCATCACCATCACCATCACCATCACCATCACCATCACCATCATCATCATCATCATCATCATCATCATCATCCTCATCTTCTCATCCGCCTGTTCCTCCTCCTTCCTCCCCCTCCTCTCCCTCTCCCTCCCCCTGCTTCTCCTCCTCCTCCTTCTCCTTCTCCTCCTCCGGTTCTTCCTCCATCCTCCCCCTCTTGGGGTACGACGTCTGACCCAACCATTCATTCCGTTGCATTCTCATCCACATCCCTGATCAGGGCAACTCGTCTGGGCCTCATTTCTGGATGGGCTGATGGGTTTACGCGAAGCGGGCAGATTTGAGAGGGTATACAAGGCTCCCATGATTTGCCGCCGAAGCAGCGTGGGTGACAGAAGTGGTGTCCACCATGGGCGATGCGAGGACTGCCAGGCCATTGGTGGAGGGGGCGCACTGATATCAGCACTCTGGTCTCCTCCTGCACAGTCGCGGCGTGGGCTATTTCCAATCCAATTTATCACGGGCAGGCTGCCGTCATAGGAGCGCCTTAGGCTTTGCAAGCGAGATGGCATGAATGGCGGGAGGGGAGTCGCCATGAAGTAGACTTAGGTCGGGCGTGTACTCCTACAGGCGGATTTTGGACGAAAAATGAAAAATAGTCCAACAAGAGTTCCAACGTAAACAAAACATTGTCCCCAGACTATGTTTTGACTATTCTTGACGATTACTCCTGTAGAGGGACATGCCCGACTTCAAAGTCGACGGGTCCTGAGGTGTTTCGCCGTGTTCGGCCTCCAGGGGCCCTCTTCGGGCCCCTGGGGGCCATCGGCAGACGAATCCAGGAGGAAGCGCCGGTCCTCGAGAAGGCCCCTGGGGTCCAGGGCCCGAGGGGCCGAGGTGGGGATGCCAGAGTGAGAGGTGGGTACACCAGGGGACGAAGAATGCAGATCGAGGAGGGACGAGGAATGGAGGACAAGCGAAAAGAAAGGTCGACTGTGGTGGCGGCAGGGGAGGATTGTCAGATGAACGACCAGGAGAAAACATGGGAGCGATTTCTGAGGGCGGCACTTCCTGTCTGCACCCTGCTGCCCTCACCCTCACCTGCTCCCAAACTCCCCCTTCTCCTTTCCCCACCCCTCGCCTCCCTTCCCTCCCCCTTGAGACGAAACGCTGCAGCAAACTCTGAGTATTTCGCTCCTTCTTTTCACCCGACCGTTTTGTCAGAGTCCTCAGGTTCATGTCTGAGGATCCAAGCGCTGTCGAGCGCATGCCAGTTGCCTTCGGGTCTGGCAGCTCTCCCGTGCCATAGCCAAACAGATGACTCCGTTCATATTGCACTGCTTTTGCTCACTCGGTTGACGGGTCGCCCTCCCCCCGCCCCACCCCGCCCCACAACCGCTGGGAGGTAGGCGAGTTGAGACACCAACAACTCCAGTCCCTGGACCCCTCCCGGAGTCCCAACGCACCAGTTGTCCGAGTCGCGTCCAACCGTGGCGATGAGGGGCCCGACCCGAAGGCCAGCTACCGTTGACTCAACTCACCTTCCACTGAACCGCCGCAATGTGGTCAGCTCCCTGGGCAAAGGTGGGTGTATAGCAAGTGTCCCCGCCCATCGCGCCAAGACAGCATTAAGACAAAGCTCATCAGTAAAAACCGATAGCCCCCTCCCCCGAAACCCAAAGTTGTCAGCGGTGCGCGCGAGGCAACGCGGGAAGGACAAACTGTGGACACTTAAACTTTGGACTTGGGGGGGGAGGGGGCGAGACATACGTGACATAGGCTGCTATTGAACAGCGCGTGATCTGATCTTTGTGCCATGGGTGTGGGCACTGTTTGCCTGGCCATCGAACCCAGACATCTGCCGACGTGATTTCTTCAATCCGCGGCCCAAGAGGTCCCGATCCCTTCCCCAGGGGTGGGTTTTCATCTCGAATAATTTTTGACGGCCCCGAGGCCCGGCAAGGGCCCCCAAAGGCAGAACATTGAGAAACACTTCCCGTCGTGATTTTGGTAGTCCCCGGGCCCGATGGCGGGCCCAGGAGGCCGAAATCCGAGAAACACGCCGCATGAAGCAAAGCCATATCCTCGGATCCTTGGGAAGCTTCCACCCAGAGGCGTCACTGCTTCCAGGCTCTCGAGCCCCCCCCCGAACCAACCGTGGCCAGCGGGTGCGCCGGGGCCAGGGCGAATTTCATCGGGCGGGTGGCAATAGGGGGTGACCCGAATGGGGGGTTGAGAAGAAAGGGCCTCAAAGAGGCCCCTCGGGGCCCCTTTTGGAACCGGCTCGTGCCCCAAAGGGGCCCTAAGGGGCCCCCTTGGGGCCTTTTTCTTCACCCCCCATCCGGGTCACCCCCCGTTGCCACCCGCCCGAGGATGTAAGGCTCGGGGCCACCCTCCGGGCCCCCAGCCGCCTCGCAGGGCAGGCCCTCTTCGCCCTCGCGCGGAGGCGGGGAGAGCGGCGGCGCCGACCGCGGAGAAGGAAAAAACTGCGAGGGGAGGCCTGACAGCGTGGGCTCCAGGCAGGGCCCGCCCATGTCGTACAAGGCTGCGCGGCGAGGATGCCCATGTCGAGATGGAGGAGGAGGAGGAGGAGGAGGAGGAGGAGGAGGAGGAGGAGGAGGAGGAGGAGGAGTTTTAAACTCGCGTGCTCAGGCATGCACGTGGGTGCCCCTGGTCTCGGCACCCTGGCCGAGCGCACTAGCAGCACGCTCGCGGCAGGGTGGGCCAGCAGCCTCAGCGCGCATCCTCTCTAGCGGCAAGCGGGGACCAGCAAGCTGATGTCTGCTGCCAGTGCACCCGCCTCCGCTGCTGCTCTCCCTGGCGGCAGGCGACGATCAGCAGGCTGACGGCTGCTGCCAACACTACCGCCTCCGCCGTCTCTGGCCGCTGCTCCGCGGGATCTCCATCGCGTTCGCGGCCTGCGCCTTCTCAGCGTCCTTGAGTAGGAGCCACTCTGGCTTGCCCCTACTGGGCCACTGCTTGCGCTTCGAGCCCTCCGCCTTCTGCTCCTCCTCGGGCCAGGCGTGGGTCTTCCACTTCTGCTGCCCTGCGAACTCGTGCTGAGCCCCATCCGTCTTGGGCTGCCACTTTGTCGCGCGCCTCGGCGCGCACCAGCTGGGGGTTGTTTGTGCGGCCCCCCACCGCGCATGAACCGTCTGCGCGTCGCCGTCGCTCTACTCCGTCTCGTGGGCGCACTGGGGACGACCCTGATACTCCGCGATGCTCTGCTGGTTGCCGAGGGCCACCTGCAAGTACGCGTCCACGGTGCGCACCTGGCCGTCCTCGATGCTCTCCTCTGCCTCCTCTAAGTAGAGCTTTCTGCCCTGGCCCTCCGCGAAGCTCCGCGTGTGGCCCTCGGTCCACTGGGCGTCGCCGTCGTTCTGCTGCTCGACGTTGCGCGACTGGCCCTCCCCGCCGTCGATCTCGCCCTTCTTCTGCAAGATGTCCAGGGCGGGGAAGGCAGGGACCTCCACGAGCGGGGCGAGCATGTGCAAGTTGTCCAAGGCCTCCTCGAGCTCCTCTATCTGCTTGCCCTGCTCATCGATCACGTTGGCGAGGTCGCGCGTCTCGGTCTCCATCTGCTTGATCCGCTGCTTGGAGTCGTCCAGCATCTCCCCAAGGACGTGCATTTCCTGGTTCTGCTGGCTAAGCTGCATCAGGAGCTCCGCGTTCAGGGCTACCAGCTGGGCCTTGATCCGCATTGCCTCCAACAGCTCGGTCTCCTTCTGCTCCATGGACTGCTTGTGCTCCGCCTTTGCCGCCTCCAGCTCCAGCATCTTCTCGCCCAGCAGCTCCTGCCAGGAAGACTTCTGCTCGAGCTTGCTCTCATTCTCCCTGGGCCCCTGCGCGCTGGAGTCCGCCTCCTCGTGCACGAGCTTGGACATCCCGTGGGCCTCTCCGCCAGCACTGAGCCACGCCCGCGCCTGGTCGAGGGCTTCATCGCCCATGCCCGGGTGGCGAAGCAGGCTCGCGGCGGTGTCAATGCCCCGCCAGGCTCGCTCGAGGTGCGGTGGAGGCCTCCTCCCCTGGTCCCTGAGCTTCTCCAGCCCTTTCGCCAAGGTGCTGCCGCCCAGGGCGGCGACGAACTCAGCGCCACAGCCGACGAGGCGCTGCGCGTGGGCTCCGAGGCAAAGGCGTCCCTCGCCCTCCTGCCCGCCTCCCGCGCGCGTGGCCGCCTCGGCCTGCGCCTCCGCCGCCACTGGCGAAGGCTCCGCCGACTGCCCCTTGGCCTGCAGGAGCAGCATGAGCTCGGCGGCCTCGCCCACAGTGCCCACAGACGCGAGGGCGGCACCGTGGCGGACCGTGGGCCCGCGGCGCCCGCCTCGCCCCATCGCACCGCCAAATGCCGCGCGCCAGGGGGCAGCGCGGCCGCGGCGCTCGCGAGGGCGCCTCCGCACGGGTCCCAGCGCCTGCCAGGCCCCTGAGCCAGAATGGCTACGGAGGAGGAGGAGGAGGAGGAGGAGGAACGGGAGGAGGATGGAGATGTAGGAAGGGGCCTTGGGCGCCCATGCCGAAGCTTTTCGAGCGGGGCGCGGCCAGCGAAAGCGGCCCAGTATGGACCGAGGAGGCCAGGGTGCAAGGGTACCTTTGAGAAGGTTGCCCATCCTTTCTATGTGGGTTGACGGTAGATGGGGTCCGAGAGTAGCGCCGCATCGCCGATGCATCGGAGGCGTCGGTGATGCATCGGACAACGTCGGCGTGGAGGAAACCGTGCTCCACATCAAGCCGCACCGCCGATGCATCGGCGATGCGGCGCGACCCTCCGACCCCATTGCCTCGGAACCCGGTCGAGAGGTCTACCAGTGCGGCAGCGACGGACGAGGGCTGCGCCTGAGCTGGCCGACCAGGCGCTGGGGCCATGGCAAGCGCTGCCCCGCGCCCACCCGCGGGCGTCCGCAAGCGGTCCTGCCGCACGGGCTCTTGGGAGGATGGCCGCTGCGCGTCGACGCCGGACCCGGCCAGGCCCATCGGGGGCCCAGGACACGGGTCCCAAGTCGACAGCCAGAACTGGTAGCAGGGATGCGCGACAAGGATGCAAGCCCCTTCGACGCCCGTATTGCAGCTTCTTCGAGGGCGGCGGGCCATCGAGAGCAGTCAGGGATGGGCCAAAGAGGCTGCAAGGGTACCTTGCGAAGGTTACATGTCGGTCGAACGAGCAGGCAGAAACATGAAGCAGGAAGGTGCTAAGTGGATTGGGTCAGCGCCCACCCCCTGAGGAGGAGGGACGAGGTTAAACCACTCGTTCACTGAAGTAGGAGAGCGCCTACAATAGATTGGGAGCCGACAGTCCACAAAAAAACGACTTTCAACGACTGTGCTGTCCTGGCTCCGACTGTGCTGTCCTGGCTGGTGGCCTGGCAGGTGTCCTGGCAGGACTGCGTGCAGGCCTGGGGCACAGTGCGGGCCCCGAGGCCCGGACCTGACCCGGCCCGGTGCCCACGGGCCCGGGGAGCTGCTCTGGCGAGCACGGGGGCTCGTCCTCGCCCAGCGGGCCCTGCGCTTCACCCCTCTGCACTGCGGGAGCGGACGAACGGGCGGCCAGCGTCGACCCTCGCCGACAACGGCAACGGTAGCATGCACGGCTCTCGTCCGAGTCTGAGCTGTGACACCCTCGTGAATCCACACGTGCTCGGGCCGCCTCTTGGGAACGGCCGCGCTTTCACCTTCAGGGTCGTCTTTCCGACGTCCTTTGGACTGGAATTCGTTCGTGTGCGCATTCGTAGATACACCAGTGCCAACTTTCATGCCGCGCGGATGGAAAGATCTGTTGCTGTACCACACGACTTTCAAGTGAACGCCCAGTGCGCTTTGTTGTTCATTTAGATGCTCGACATGTGGGGCCTTCCTGTGAAATGTAATCCAAGGACTGGAAAGAAAGAACAAGCACACGCGGAATCCAGGTGTGCAAAAGGGGAAGGGGACGAGATGAAGAAGGAGAGAGACAGAGAGTGCTGTTGTGGAGTGCGCGCGAGCATCCCGCACCCCCAATGGGATTGCAGGGGGTGGGATGCTCCTGTGCGCGCTTCGCGATGCCCGTGACCCACGCCTCTCGCCCTGCATCGGCTGCGCCCCAAAATGAGCACCATCCTCGTCTCTACCCCCACGTCGCCCTTTTCAAAAGGGGGGAGGCGCATCGCTGCGCGACTGATCCTTTGTCGTGCGCGTCGCGCGCGGGGTTCGCGCTGCGCGCATCGGTCGCTATGCGTCCTCCGCAGCGAAGGAACGGTCTGCCCGAAGATGCGCATCGCTGCGCGACTAATCATTTGTCGAGCGAGTCGCGCGTAAAAAGGAGAAAGCGCACCGTTACGCGACTAGTCATTTGTCGCGCGCGTCACGCGCGGGGGTCACGCTTCGCGCATCAATCGCTACGCGACATCCGCAGGAATGGGTGGGGGTCTCTACGCGTTCCGTTTGGCGACTGATTATTTGTCGAACGCGTCGCGAGCGGGGGTCATGCTTCGCGCATCAGTCGCTACGCGACATCCGCAGGGGGGGGGGCTGCATGTGGACTCTTTGAGGCTGTCAGGGTTTCCCTGGTGCTGGACCTCTGCAGTAATGGATGCGGGGGGTCTGCCTAGTCATTTGTCGCGCGCGTCGCGCGCGTGGGTCGCGCTTCGCGCATCAGTCGCTAAGCGACATCCGCAGGAATGGGTGGGGGGGGCCTGCTTGATGATGCGCATCGCTGGGCGACTAATTACTTGTCGGGCGCGTCGCGCGCGGGGGTCGCGCTTCGTGCATCAATCGCTATGCGACATCCGCAGGGGTGAGGGGCGGGTGGGGGGGCTGCATGAACATCACCCTTGGACTTTGAAGCTGTCGTGGGGTTTCCTGGGGCCTCTTGGGGCCTCCTGGGGCCTGCTGGAGCCTCGTGTCGTGTCCCTTCCTGGAGCCTCCTGGGATTTCCCTGGGGATCCTGGTGCTTCCTGGGGCTTCCTGTGGCCTCCTGGGGTCTCCTGTGGCCTCCTGGAGCTTTCTGGTGCCTCCTGGAGCTTCCTGTGGTTTCCTGTGGCTCCCTGGGGGCCTCTGGGACTTCCTGTGGCCTCCTGAAGCCTCCTGGGGCCGCCTGGGGCCTCTTGGGGCCTCCTGAGGATTCCCGTGGCTTCCTGAAATCTCCTGAGGCCTCCTGTGGCTTGCTGGAACCTCCTGAAGCTTCCTGGGGCCTCCTGGAGCTTCCTTGGGCCCCCTGGGGCTTCCTGGGGGGGCATTTTTGGCAGAACCGTGAAACTCCTCCGGGGCTCCAAACACAATCCGAATCACCATCATCATAATCATTTTAATCGCCATCATGATCAGAATCACCACCGACCGAGTCACCATCCTCAAACTCATCTTAATCATCATCAATATCACACTCATCACCATCCGAACCACCATCCCCATAATCATCATCATCCGAGTCACCAACATCAGATTCGCCTGAATCATCACCACCATCACCATAATCATCTTACTCAACATCCGCGTCACCATCATCATCATTATCATCATCCGGGTCACCATCGTCATAATCACCTGCATCATCTGCATGATCAACATCATCGTCATCATCATCATCATCTTCGCCCACATAATCAAGTTAGCCATTACAGCAGCAACATCTTCATTACCAGCAGCATCTTCATCATCATCATCTTCACCACAAACAGCAAGTTCATCATCAACATCATCGGCATCATCATCTTCATATTCGTCGTCATCTGCATCATACTCATCATTCGCATCATCATTTTCATTTTCATCATCAGCATCATACACATCATCATCATCCGCATCGTCTTCATCATCATCATCACCATCATCTTCATCATCAGCATTATCTTCATCATCGCTATTTTCAGTTTCAACAACAACAGCAACCAGCATTCGCAAACAGCAAGCCACAACATACAACAATACAAAATAACAAACAGCAACACACAACCACGACGAACAACAACACCAGCCAATAACGCTAACGACAAACAACGACACAAACAACAAACAACAACAGGCAACAACAACACATACAAAACAGCTACCAGCAACGAACAACATCAATCAACGACATCAAACAGCAACACACAGCAACAACACATATCAACAACACACAACAGCAAACAACAACAAACACCAACAACAAACAACAACCATCAACAAACAACAACAACAACACACAACAACAACAAGACACACCATTGAGTTTCCTCAAGGTCATTCACGGGCGGTCTGTCCGGGCAGCTAACCACGTGTAGCCCTGGCAGTAGTAGTAGTAGTAGTAGTAGTAGTAGTAGTAGTAGTAGTAGTAGTAGTCGTAGAAGTAGTAGTAGTAGTAGCAGCAGTAGTAGTAGTAGTAGTAGTAGTAGTAGTAGTAGTAGTACTAGTAGTAGTAGTAGTAGTAGTAGTAGTAGTAGTAGTAGTAGTCGTAGTAGTGGTAGTAGCAGTAGCAGTAGTAGTAGTAGTAGTAGTAGTAGTAGTAGTAGTAGTAGTGGTAGTAGTGGTAGTAGTGGTAGTAGTGGTCGTAGTAGTAGTAGTAGTAGTAGTAGTAGTAGTAGTAGTAGTAGTAGTAGTAGTAGTTGACGTAATATCAACAATCGTAGCATTAGTCGTCGTGGTAGTAGCAATTGTAATCGAAATCGTAGCAGTAGTCGTAGTAGTCGTAGTAGTAGTAGTAGTAGTAGTAGTAGTAGTAGTAGTCGTAGTAGTAGTAGTAGTAATCGTAGTAGTAGTCGTAGTAGTAGTAGTAGTAGTAGTAGGCGTAGTAGTAGTAGTAGTAGTCGTAGTAGTAGTAGTAGTAACAGTAGTGATAGTATTAGCATTAGTAGTCGTATTAAAACTAGTAGTCGTCGTATTAGTAGTGGTAGTCGTCGTAGTAGTAGTAGGAGTAATAACAATATTAGTAGTAGTAGTAGTCGTCGTAGCAGTAGTAGTAGTAGTAATAGTAGTAGTAGTAGTAGTAGTAGTAGTAGCAACAGTATTGATAGTATTAGTATTCGTATTATGATAATTATTATTATGAGTAGTAGTAGTCGTAGTAGTAGTAGTAGTAGTCGTAGTAGTGGTAGTGGCAGTAGTATTCGTAGTGGTCGCAGTAGTGGTTGTAGAGGTAGTTCGAATAGTCGTGGTCGTGGAAGTAGTCGTAGTAGTAATTATAGTAGTACGTAGTAGTAGAAATAGTAGTCGTAGTAGTCGTAGTACATGGTCGTAGAAGTAGTACCAGTATGTGTAGCAATAAAGCTAGAGTTTGGAATATCCGTAGTAGTAGTTGCAATGTTGGAAGAAGTAGCAGTAGGGAGCCTAGTAAACGTAAGCGCGGTCGCAGTGCTAGTATCTGTCTTGGTAATAATAGTAGTCGTAGTCGTAGTAGTAGTCGTAATACTAGTAGTAGTAATAAACGTATCAATGGTAGTGATGGTAGGGGTAGTAGTAGCGGTAGTCGTCCTCGTAGTAGTAGTGGTAATAGTAGTACTACTATTATAGCTCGTAGTCGTAGTACTTGCCGCAATGATAGCAGTAGTAGTAGCAGTCGTAGTAGTAGTAGTAGTAGTAGTAGTAGTAGTCGTAGTAGTAGTAGGAATAGTACCAGTAGTAGTACGAGTAGTAGAACCTAGTATGTCGTGGGGCAGTAGGTGGTAAGAAGCAGCAGTAGTAATATTAGTAGTGATCGTAGTAGTAGTAGTAGTAGTAGTATTAGTAGTAGTGGTAGTTCTTGTTGTAGTAGTACTAGTAGTCGTAGTAGTAGTAGTAGTAGTAGTAGTAGTCGTAGTAATAGTAGCAGTAGTAGTAGTATAGTAATGGTAGTGTAGTAGTAGTAGTAGTAGTAGTAGTAGTAGTAGTAGTAGTCGTAATAGTAGTAGTAGTAGTAGTAGTAGTAGTAGTAGTAGTAGTAAATGTAGTCCACTACAGTTATGATCGAACACAGTAGTAAT